GTCTCTGGGCCTGTTTGCAGTGCCCTTTTGTGTCATTAGTTATCTTCTCTGGGGCCTGGCTATTGGAGGCCAAGGATCAGGAAGCCCAAGTGACAACCCCAGGGCTAACTCAGAGTGGTTGGAGGTGCCAGTACCCTTCTGAGGCTCTGGAAAGTCTCGCTTGTGGGGTCGGCTACACTGTGACAATTAAGCAGGAGGAAGGGGAGTCCCTGCTCCTTGCTGGGTTTAATAGACTTAAGGATGTGAGAGCTGCAGAGGAGCCTCTTCCTCCTGCCTCACCCCCTCATTTACAGAAGGGAGACCAGCTGGGAGAGGGAAGGGCTTTCCCACTGACTACAGCTGCCGTTCAAAGTCTCATGCCCTGAGTGAGGTCCTCACAGTCTCTGTGGCAAGCGTGGGGGCAACGTACTAGAAATACAGATTTATTTTCTGTATTTATGAAATATATTCTTGAGCCACATGCCTTTGGTTTAAGTCTCCTCGATCTATTTGGGACAGCACAGTGGGTGGAACGTGGGTGGGGAGTTAAGTCTGGTGTTTATGGCTGTGCAGTTGGTGTGCATGTTGCTGCGAAGTAACCAGGGATGGAGCCGCATGTGGTTCTACATGCCCCCGTTGGTTCCCAGTGCGGGTGGGCAGCCATTGCTGCAGACCCGGAGCCTGCCCAGGGGCTGCCGTCTGCGGGAGGCGCCATATTCTGAGGCTCAGCAAGAAAGTACAGGCTCAGAGGGTGGGACCCATTGTTGTTTACTGAGCACCAGGGCTATGCAGGCCAAGGCCGGGGCTAGGGAAGCTGGGGGCTGGGGAAGTGGCAACAAAGGGGACCCCCTCAAGGAAGGAGGGTGGGAGTGGGACAGAGAGGCAGGGGTATGTAGGTTGCCCTTTGGGAGAGGAGGCACTTGGGTGCAAAAATGCTCTCAAAATGTGCCCCTCTTCCCTGATTCTGTGTTGAGTGCTTTGTGGCTCTTACTCACTCATTTCTTTCTGGAGGATTACCATGATGCTCAGGAAGTTCACGTCTAGCTTGGATAACTAGACACCTCCTGGGAGAGATGAGAGAGCGTGAAGAGGGAGAAGAGATCTTTCAGTCCCCCCGGAGGTAACCAAGAGGTCAACCTGTCCTGCCATCCATCCCCTGCCAGCAACACAGTTGAAGGCTGGAGTGGGTGTCCTCAGCCAAGATTGGGAGAGAGCCTGTGCAGCAGGCCTGGCACAAAGGCCACTCCTTTGTCTATTGGGTTGTGATGGTCCTGGGGACCACCATTCAGACACTGTGCTAGAGCCTCCTCAGCCGGGACCTGAGAAGGAAGTGGTCCAGTGAGCTGGGCTGCCATTTCTCTGCCTAAACCTGGGGTCAGAGATCAGAGTGCCTACGCTGAGGCCTCTGGTCTCCTGGGTCTCCATGTCTATTTGACAGTATCATTTGTACCTACTCCTTTGTACCTGACTCAGGGAGCATGTGGTGTGACAGTCCTGTTTGTTCACTGGCACGCTGTGTGTATGAGAGGCAACGAAAGAACATTTCAAAACCCTTGCAATGTGGCAGTGGGGTGGGGGGTTCCTAGCTGGGCCTTTGCCAGCGTGGCTGCTGTGGGGAACAACGAGCAAAATTCACTTGTGCAGGGGCGTCAGCAAGTGAGGAAAGGGTGGAGGAGAGCAGAGAGGTCCAGAAAAGTGATGGGGGCCTGGCTGGGAGTTGGTGGGAGTGACTCACTCTGGGCTAATTTGTTTTGCTTTCTCCAGTGTGCTCTGCTGTGTGAGTGATAAGCAGACGGCATGGGTCACTTGGGGTGGAGTGTACTCAGGGAGAGATGGCAGGTGCTGGAATGACTGGGTATTGGTCTAGCCAAGCTCAAGAGGCAAGTGTGACTGGTCAGGAGGACAGGTGGGTAGGAGGCTGGGCTGCATTCAGGGCTCAGGATTAATGAAGCAGGAGCATCTCACAAAAGACTGGGTGGTCCTAGGTGGAGAGTGTGGCCCTGGTGGGACTTGGCCTGGAGATGGCACCCTGGGCCTCTGGCAGGTGGGCACTGGCCTTTCACAGCTGGATGGAATCCACACTGCTGAAGCCCAGCCAAGGAGCAGGATTGCAGAGCTGGTTGCACTCAGGAATCACCGCCAAGGACCATGGGGATTCGCCTGTGGGAAGAACCAGATTGACAATGTCCCTGCTCTGAGCTGCTGTCCTGAATGCATCAAAAATGATTAATGACATAAAAGGAATAAGCTGCCACGAGGTTAGAAGAGTCTCAGAATGTGTCTCATTCTGATCATTATCAATGATAGAGACCCCCTCCAGTCCCCAGGGTTTGGAAACTCTGAGAATGCACTCCTAAAGAGTGAGTGGGTTAAAGAAGAAGTGGGAATGGCAAAAAAAAAAAAAGGAAGTTAATGACAGTGAAAATACTGCATGTTAGAAATTTGTGAGGTTTATTAAGATGATAATCAGAGGCAAATTTGTAGCTTCAAATAAATTTGTTTAAAACTGAGAAAGAATGAAAATAACTGAATTAAGAGCTCAACACAGGGAGCTACAGAAAGAACGGAGAGGAAGAGAAAAGAGAGCGTTTCTAGCTCACAGGACTTGAGGAGCAGTGAGTGGTCCAGTGAAGCTGGTGCATTGGGACAGGCAAGGTGAGGAAGGCACTAGACTGGGACCTGGGAGGCCAAGTTGAGGGGTTGGGACCATTATTATCAGGGAGCCTGAAGTGTGTTAGAGTGGAGAGTGACATTTTAGGCCACGTGGGCTTTGGCCCTAAGTGGAGCCTGGGGCCAACAGTCCTCTTCTTGCTTGTGCCTTGGAAGTGCAGGAGCCTGCATGGAAGGTCGTTTTTCCAGGAAGGCAGGAGAGTGTGCAGAAGCCACACAGGCCCACTAGTGCTGAGCAGGCGCTGTTGGGAAAGGCTGAGGCCTGGCCTCTCCAGATTCCCCACACACACTGTGCTTTGCTCCCTCCCAGCATTTCCTGAGCCTTGAGCTACAGCCTCTCTTGCCTGAATGGCTCCCTGCCCAGCATCTTGTTCCCAACTTGGCATCTGGTGGTTGAGTGATGACAGGAAAGGAGAGTGACCCACAGATACTTGTTTGGTCACTTACTTGCTGTGACTTCCTGGAAACCTGCCATTATTCAGTGAGCTTTAGGCAGACAGAGCCCGTCTTTATTGGTGCTCCATGTACTGGTTTCCTTCCCTTTTCTCTCGTCCCTCTTTGTTTTTCCTCAAAATGAAAATAGTTTTGTGGTATTCTTTTTATATTAAGGTAGCAATGCCATATAGTCATTGTGGAAAAAAAAAATTAAAAATATAGAAAATTACAGAGATTTCAGAGAATTAAGTAAAAGTTTCCTGACATTGTACCTCTCCCTCCCAATAAGTCTTGTTAACTGTATAGACTGCTGCTGGAAGGATATCTGAGTGACAGTCCTGCCCCATCCCACACTCAGGCTGGCGTTATACAGATGAGGTCACATGGCTCACACTGTCTTGTACTGGCATTTTGCACTCACCAATGTTGTTGGGCATTGTTCCTGTCGGTAAATGTGGATCTGCTCCATCCTGTTTGCTGATGGCATAGGACTGACTCCCAGGGCTGCTGGAGCACACCCCCAGACCCCTTGTTACCTTCTGCATAGAGAAAGCTGGTGAGAGGCACAGGCTGGGAGCTTTGTCTTTGTGTTCCCTCAGGCCGTGCTCCCTCACTTAGACATGTCACCTCTGGAGAGGGTAAATACACAAACCATCCTCTGAGGATGACATGGGTTGATTCAGGTAAGGTACTCTGAGCCCACCCAGGTGCTCAGCGGTAGCTGGTATTGTAATTACTTAAACTTCATAATTTCCATTATGTACACCTCTCAGAGGGGGAGCCATGGGTGGATTCTGGAAGTGTGGGTGGGCACGTTCCCTCCTGCCCAGTATGCCTGAGCGCAGGTGGCAGCTCTTACTCTTCTGGGACCTCTGAATGTTCCTCAGGGTCCCTTTTCCAGCCCCAAACTGGACTACTGGTGTTTTTTGGAATTGATTGGAAGGTGCTTCCCAGTGTTCCTCTCGTTCATGGTTCAGCCTCAGCTCTGCTGACAGGGGCACCTCTCATGGGCGGCTGGGGTTCATGATGCTCTCTGTGCTGGAGGAACTGTGGCTGCCTTCATGACAGTGGCTGTGCTGCCTTCCTCTGGAGATGAACCTCTTTTATCTGGTTTTGCTCAGGGAATGCTAGGTAATGGCCACAATAAAAGTGTAACTGGGAGGAAATGATGGTTTATGGTATCGTTGCTAAATCTATTCTTATTCTGTGCAGTTTTCTGGACTGGATTGCAGGCATGTGGGGAAGGAGATCACACCCCTGCCCACACACCTGCCCATGCTCACTGCCCCTCACATCACTGCCTGGCACGAGCCTGGTCTCCCATTTAGAACCCGAGCAGGCTTTCCTTCTCCATAGGCCCTAACATGAGGCAGGTGACACCCACATTAGAGGGATCCATCACATCACTCCTCTGTGCAGGTTTCTTTCCCTGCCCTGCTTCTGGCCTCCATGTCACCTATGCTCCCTGACTGTACCCTGTCTCTGTGCAAGTGATGGATTCAGCAGCAAGGTGGTATGAGGGAGGAGCATGGCCCTGGTGCAGAGGGACTAGAGTCCTGGGGCAAATCAATGCACCTTTCTGACCTCCAGCTCCTCACTGGAGAAGGAGGGGTAGTGACACTGGCTGGCAGGGCTGCCAGTGTGGACTGGCCTGCTCATTCATCTCTGCCCACCCATGGCCCCAGGGCCTGGCCTTTGTTTTGTTAATGGTGCTCAGGAGCACAACTTTTAGCCATAGCATTTGAATCTTGCCATAGCAGGCTCTTTGGCCAGAAGCTGGGGAGGACTATGGGCTAAATGAGGTCCTCTGCCCTTTATTCTGCTGCTGCTTTCATTCAAGAGCTTCTAGTTTTTTTCTGTTTATTGAGAATTTAGAGTGACCTTTGGTGTTTGTTCTTTTTTGCTTGTTCTGATAGGGACCAGCCACCACTGTTGCCTTTTCAAGAACAGGGGAGTATTTTGCTTCTGGAGGTTCTGATGAACAAGTAAGTAAAGAATGGACTAAGGAATCTCAGCTGATGCTGATCAGATAGAACAGAGGCCAGAGGCTATCCAGGGGACAGGCCAGATTTGACCAGCCATGGCCTTGGGTGGCTTTCCACAACCTAGAAGGCTCTGATGAAGCTTGGGGTGCGGGCACACAGACCTGGGGCCATCACCTCCCCAGAGCGGGTCTTCTGCAAGACGCTGACCCTGGAGTAGCATCTCAGACCCCATAGTATTCATTCCAGCACAGGTTAGGAGTCTGGGGCTATCACTGTCATGAGAAAGTTAAAGTTTGGTTTTCTTCTTAATTTATTTTTCCTGATTATAAATGAATGATGAAATAATAATTCAGTAAAAAATAGATATTTACTGTGGGCCTGATAAAGGGGCTGATGTGGCAAGAACTTCACACAACATTTATCTCTTTCAGTCCTCATGGTAGCTCTGTGGGGAGGCACCCTCATCTCTCCATTCTGTAGTTGAACAGACTGAGAATCAATAGACAGCAGAGCTGGTCAGGTACCAGGGCTCATCTGACTCCAGAGTCATGCCCCTGACCCAGGAGCCTCTATTCCATCATCCACCTCCCTCTGCTCCCTGGCCATAGTGCGCTGACTGAGGGGCAGCATTTCCAAAATCCTTGGCTGCCCAGAGAGGCCATGCTCCCCACCCCCACCCACCATGTGCCCTAGTGCCTTCTGCCCAGACTGCTGAACACCAAGGACCTGTCTCCTGGTCTGGACACCCTGGCCCTGTGGTCTATTCCAGAGCTTGGACCAAGGGCTTCTAGAAATCACTCCAGAGTCCCTACCCAGCGCTGCTTATCCAGAGAACTACACTCTCCCGAGTGGTGAGAGATGGCTGTTCTCGTCCACTGCTGACCTAGTGGGTCATCAAGAATGTTCTTCCAAGTATACTAGGTCTCACAGCTCCTCAGCCCAGTGAGCCCAAGGCCAGTCCCAGATTTACCGCTTTAGGTTCAGTTCTCTGCCAATAAGGCAAAGGGTGGTTTGAGGCTCTTTTAGCACAGCCTGGGTAAGAGTTGAAGGAGCTCTGGTGGTGTAGTGCCTAAGGCATCTGACTGCTGACCACAAGGTTGGTGGTTCAAACCCACCAGCCACTCCACAGAAGGAAGACTGGGTGATCTACTTCAGTAAAGATTTACCACCTCGGAAACCCAGAGGGGGTCACTATGAGTCAGAATCAACTCAATAGCAGTCAGTTTGCTTTTTTTGGTTTTTGGGTAAGATTTGCAGGCATCTTTCTATAACCAGCACCAGCTCCTACACTAACCAGTCGGGGGAGGAGGAAGGCAAAGGGGGCCCCTGAGCTTTCCCTGAACTTGGAAGCCAGGCTCATTGTTTAGAAGAATAGGGAAACTAGTACAATAAATTCACACAGCACATAAAGTTGTGATTAAAGAAATTCACGCAGCACAAGAAGCAACGTGGTAGAAAGGCTGCCGCCCACTGTAGCCCCTCAGGCAGCTCCCTAGCTGCCATTTTAAAGTCTGCTCTGACAGCCTTTCTGGAGTGATGTTTGGCGTTATCTGTTCACACCTGCTAGGAGTCATTCCACCCCTAGAAATTTACTCAGCAATTAGATTTGCATGCCACACAACGACCCTAGAAACAAGATATGTGCTGATGTTCTGTTTGTAAAGGTGAAAAATCAGAGACCAGTGTCCCTCAGTTGGGGAGTGGAGCTGCTCACAGAGTACTAAGAAATGTCCCAAAGGACCAGGCTCCTGGGTGTGAACCAACAGGGAGTGTCTGCTAGGGCACACTACATTTCATCTTAAGCAGATGTGGTAGGTTTCTGTGGCCTCAGTGACCTCCACAGTTCCTGTTCTAAGGCCCGTGTCGGCCATCTTGGAGGCAACCCTAAAAAAATACGGTGGCAGGTTGCCAATAACCCTCTAGCAGGATAGCTCACTTGCTTCCCAGGAACACATGTCCCTTGGAACTTTTGTTGGAGGAGCCTCAGGAGGTGATCCTGTATTAAGGAAGATACTCATGGGAGTGGTGGCGGCAGTATTTTGTGTGTCTGAGCTTAGCCTTTGGGGTTATGGCTTGTGTTACTCCCTCAGTACCCACATCTGTGTCAAGCTACCCCCTGTGAGCCCCACAGCAACTCTATGAGATGGGAACTAGGACCATCCCCTTTTCACAGATGAGGAAACTGAGGCACAGAGAAGTTGAGGTGCTTGCCTGGGGTCACACAGTAAGGGATAGAGCCAGGATCTACCAGGTCTGGCCTGAAATCTCTGTCTTCACCACTTCTCACAGTGTAACAGACCAGGCCACCACCTTCAGTAGCTTCTAGTAGTGGGAAAGATAGATGTTAAATATGGAAAAGGCATAAATTAAATAACTACTAACTCTCATGTAGGAAACAAATAGGGGGCTATGATGAAAATTAATAGTCAGGGAAGGCTTTTCTGAGAAGGTGGTATTGAGGTGGAGACTTCAACCTGAGGAGGAGCCAGGCATGTGAAGCTCGGGCCTCTGAGTACCACAGGCAGAGGGACCAGCAAGTGAAAAGGCAGCGATTCCATCCAGCTGGCCCATCCAGATTCTCTCGAGGCCTGTCAAAGAAGCCTGCTTCCCACAGCAGTGAGGAGGGTCTGAGAGTCAGGGTGTCAGGTGGGACAACTATCTTGCCAGTGGCCCAAACTTTGAGGGTGGTCCCTGGGCCGTTATGTGGGTGATGTAGACTGGTAAGAGTTTTTTGTCCTAATTCTGTTTGCTTCTTGGTCTTGGCAGGTTATGGTTTGGAGGAGTAACTTTGATGTTACCAGCTGTGGCGAAATTGTAAAAGTGCAGAGGCCCCCAGCCATGCAGGCCAGCTCTGCCGGGAATCTGGTAGGTGGCAGGAGTGTCCTGAACCCTGTGACTCTGGAGGCTAGGGTCATGGTGAACAGCCATGGGCTCAGAGAAGGTGGGAGGCTAGAGCTTAGGCTGTTCAGAGGAGGAAGGGACCATGATAAGAGCTTGTCATCTACCAAACAATACTTTGACACTTGTGGTGCTTCATTTTAAATCTAGAATGAATGAGCAAGACATAAAGAGGCTATTAAAGTAGGCTGCAGGGTGCCCAGGTGTGGGGGTGTTTCCATGGCACACGCTGCCAGTTGCTTAAGGCCTGAGGAAATGAAAGACCTTTCTCATGCCAAGCCCTGGGTGGCGGGATTTGAAGCCACAGCTGGAATGAATGGGAAAGGCCATGTGGCTCTCACTTCCTTTTTTTTTCCCAAAGCTGTGGAGAGAAGGAAGTTTCTCAGCCACAAAGCATTTTTAGGACCTCTGTTGGTAGAGGGTATTTAATTAATATTCCTGAATGAAAATATTTAACAATATTTTTTAGATGATTGTTTTGGGGGAAAACGGATAACTACCATGGTGACATTGAAATAAGGTGCTGTGCATCAGCTGAAATAAGTGTAAAGCTACAGGTGGTGGAACCCTGAGGGTTTTGGCTCCTGTGGTCACAGCCTATTGACATCTCTTCCTTCTAGACCTTAAAGGCAGCATGGCCTCCTCCAGGCAAGGACACAGGCCTGAACAACAGGAAGCAGCTCACCCAAAGCCCCCAGCACTCAAGGCTGGAGCCCAGAATAGAGCCAGAAAGTCTCCTATGTCCACCCTGGGGCTTTCTTTGGCTCCAACATATTGGATCTCCTTCCCTCCTCACGTGCAACTATTTGTTCCTATACTACCTTCAGGCCTCCATGGAACTCACCCTCAAAGCTCTGCCTGCTGGTCATCACCACCTGGGGCTCACATAGGGGAAAGGATATGGTCTTGAGGTCAGAGAACTGGAGTTGAACCCTGACTGTGTGGTCCTAGGCAAAGTACCCATTTTTCCTGAGACCTTCATCTCCACAACAGGACCTGACCTGCCCCGTAGGCAGGTTCTGAGGACCCTGTATGTAACATAGGTGAGCTGTGTTAATCTATGACGTGACTGGTTAATCCTGAAAGCATTCTTTGTTTAGATCAGGGCTTTTGTCCTTCTCTGTCATAAGTACTTTGAGACCCCAGGTTTTCATATGAGCCTCCTGCACATACATGCCCATGCCTATACATGCACACACGTGGTATATTCTTCTAGGGGCTTCTCTGATCTCGGAATTCCAAGGTCAAAAGGAGAGCTTGTTTTTAAAACACTGTTTAGTGATTGGGTTTCCTCCATGGGTCAGAAGGGAAGCTGACCTGTGTTCTCACCCTTCCTGCCCAAGGGCTTCCCTGGAACTGAGATAGTATCTGGTGAGTAGCCCGTGTGACTAGCCAGGGTGGCTCAGTTCCCCAAGGAAAACTACAGCTATGTCCTAGGAGCTTGCTAGTCCCAGAGTCCTCCACCTCTGTCCACACACCCAGGGTTTCTCAACAGTGGCACCGTTGCTGTTTTGAGCCAGCTAATTCTTTGTTGTGAGGACTGTCCTGTGCATTTCAGGATGCTCAGCAACATCCCTGGTCTCTTATTTACTAGACGCTAGTAGCACCCACTTCCTCAGCTGTAACAACCAATAATGTCATTGTTGGCAACATTGCTAAATGTCCTCGGGGGGATAGGATTGTCCCCAGTTGGGAATCACTGTGATAACTCCTGCCTCTGGAGTGAGTCCAGGAAGGAAGCTATTCTAGCAGCACAAGAAGTGTAGCTGAGGATGGGGCTGTCCTAGTGGTAGGAGGAGCCATTCCCACAGCCCTGGGGTGAGGACTCTAGAGGGGCTCCAGTTGGATCTGGGTTTCCAACAGAAGCCCATTTTGTAGGAATGTTGTTTGACCTGTCAGGCTTTGGGATCTTGTAGAGGTGATGATAAAACAACAAAAACCTTTTGCCTGTAGCAATTTGGTATTCTTCTCTTATCATTAGAGTGTGTTCTTCCCAGGCTCTGAGATAGTATCAGGTGAGGGGGGTTTGTTGACTGGCCAGGGTGGGTCAGCTGCCCTAGGAGCTGGCAAATCCCATGAGCTTCTGCCCCCTTTCAGCTTTGGCTTCATGCTGGGCTTCAGCTCCTAAAGCCCCATTTAGGTGCTTAGTCTTGAATTCCTGGCCACATGCCCATTGGAGTGTGGCAGTCAAAAGCCAATGGGGCAGACCCATTGCAGACAAGGCCGGGCAGCCCTGGGAACCTGCAGTAGCCCCTGTGCCCTGGAAACCCTCTCTCTGTGACAGTGATGTTTCGGTGTCATTCTTGGAATGAAAGCTGTCCTTGAGCCCACTCTGCACAGAGCTCTGTTCACTACACGGAGCTATTTTCAACCACTGGTTGAAATGCACAGCTTATTTTTAGGCACATTTCATGTTGAAAAGCAAAAGCCATTTCCCAGACATTCAGAATGAGAATAATGGGTTCCATTTCCCCTCTATTCTTGGCAGAATTGTGCATGAGGAGTGATTTTAGGTCTTGTGGCTGAGGAGTGTTCTCTACTTTGAAGATTGCAGGAATATTGAAGCCCATGCTCTGGGCTGGGTGGGCAGGACACTCAGCGTTCTGCCCACAGCAGCTTCAAGTCTGGAGTAGGCTTGGAAGGGCCACTTGCGAGATGAGTGCCGCCCGGAGGGCTCCCTAGTGAGCCACACTTGAGGCATGGTGGGGTGGGGCTCCGGGAGCTGTTGGTAGTGGGCTTGTACTGGTGTTTTCAAGGGTCAGGGCTTCATTCAGTTCCCTGCCACATACTGGCCGCCTGCCCTCTCTGGATATACTGCTCCCCTTCCCCCAAGTTCTGATACCCTCCTGTTATCTGTGCTCTGGGGTCTGTCCCTGAGATGCAGGGACCTTGGATTTAGCACTTGCCCCTCCAAGCCCCAGGCACCACAAGGCTGACTTCTGCCTTGACCATAGAAGCATTTTTTGGACCACTTTTAAATAGCAAATTTTAAATAGCAAAGATGTGTTTATTCTGATCTACTCTCACTCTTGCCTCCCTCCAAACATCTGAGGGCCCATTATGCAACCAGGAAGGCAGGTTGTGCGGGCTAGGATGGGAGGGAAAGAACGCAGAGTTCTAGGTAATTCAGTGAAACTAAAAAGCAAAATCACTCCATGAGTTCTCAGGGCTGGCTGCCCTTAGTTCTAACAGTAGCCTTGAATTCTGGGGCTGAGGGCTTTTCTCCCATCGCCTCTCAAGACATCCTTATTTTAAGGGGAAAAGCTTAACTCTGGTTAAGAGCCTGGGTTCTGACTTCAGCAGACTTAGGTTTGAATCCTGCCTCTGCCTCGCCTAGGCTATGACCTTGGACATTTGGCCAGACCCCCGTGAGGCCCTTTCCTCTTCTGTCCCATCGAGAGATGCTGGGCCCTGCTTCGGGAGATTGCGTGAGGTGGGGCATGCTGGGCAGGCACTTGGCACTGTGCCTGGCACATGGCAAGTGCTCACCAGGCTTTAGCTATTTTTAAAATGTTCCTTTTCCCTTCTCTGTCTGATTGAGAGCTGGCTTGTCTCCCCCCCCCCACCCAGTTCAGTCAAGGGGTTGGGATGAGGGTGAGCTGGTGGAGGTGGGCAGATCTGATCAGGATAATTTTGGATATTGAGTGCTCTTTGCAAGTGGTCCCTGTTCCACAGTGAAGTCATAGGCCCTTGCAGGCATCATTGGTTCTCCCCTACCCACTCCTGTGATTCACTGGGGCAAAGTGCCTGGGGTGAGAACCGAGAGCCTGAGCAGCCACTGTAGGTGTCCAGGACCCCCAGAATTATGTTGCTAGAGCTGTCCTCCAGGAAGAGGATGCTGAGCCAGGTAAGAATGTCTGACTTGAGCCTGCAGCCTCATCCTTCTTTGGGAATGGTCTGCTTCTTCCTTGTTCCTCAAGTTCTGTGGGCGAGGCCTCAGCCATCTCCTGTGCCCATGCCTCAGTCCCCATGTTTCCTTTAGGGTGCCACTGCAGGAGCAGGCTTGACTTGGCATTCTTGAACCCCAGTTCCCGGCCCAGAGACTCCTGGTACTAGATTTTGCTGTGTGGTGAGAATCTAGAGGTGCTAGGCACCTTACCTTGTGAGTCATGGGGGTGGGGAGGTGAAGAAGAGGCTATTTCCACCTGCCACATAGATTTGCTTTCTTATCTGGGAGCACGAAGGACTTGGATCTCTTTCCTTGGAAAATAAGTTTCTAGCCTGGCATTTGCTTAATCTGGGTGGCTCTAAAAATGACATAGTGCAGCTTCATCCAACCTCCTCATCTAACTTCAACAACAGCCCCAGGCTGATTCCTATGAGGTGAAGGTCAGATATGCTGCCACCCTCCAGCCTTTTTGCCAGTTCTGACACCAACCATCCCTCCCATGGCACTCTCTACTTCTCTGCTGGGTTCCATAATTTGTTGCAATGGCCACACAGAACTCAAAGACTATACTCAATGATTATCAGTTTATTAGGGAGGTAACAGGCTACAATTCAGGATCAGAAGCAACTTAGGATACAGTTCTTCGGTCAGAATAGCTTCTTCTCAGCCATGCTACAGGCACACTTCTCTCTGGCTGAGGCCTCTTGGCCCTGCGGCCCTGCAGCCTTTACCTTGCTTGGGCAAATGTTAGAAAGTTCTTTTAGCTCTGCCAATAAATGACTAGAGGTGCCTCACTCTACCATCAAGCTTCCTGCCCAAAGGTGCTCAGCTTTCTCACTCTGTGTGCCAGAAGCCCACCACTCGCTTACTGCTCTCTCATGCTGGTCTGCTGCTGTTGTTTCTTTGCCGCTGCTTCTTGCCCATCTCTTGCTGTCTCAGCAAAGTGTTACAACTCTGTCTCCTTGGCCAAGGAAGTTCAGTGCAGGGATCTCATGGCTCTTTTTTCTTGATGGTACTGAGATCCCCTCTTCTGCCTCTGGGATGGCTCATTTGAAGCCTAGTGGGATGGCACAACTGA